GTGAAGAGAAAGTCTCTCTCCTCTTCTCCTCCCTCCCCTTTTTACTCCCTGTATCCCATTTTGTTCTTATCTGTAGTTGTTGCCAATTCTCCCTTCCGCTTGCAAATGTTTGTAAGTCGTCAAGATCTAATGATGAGCCTTGGCAAATCAGGGAGAAATACAGGTCACATCCTTGGTGACAGAAAGGAAAACGATGTATAAGAAAAGCCTCAGCAGAAAACAACTGGCATTGTAAGACTCCCTTGGCAAAATACAGGTATGGCTATATTAAGTGTTACACAACTATCAAGTACAAGAGGTTTCTGTTTTTGATTATTCTAATGCTGAATTTGGAAGAATTCCTGCAAACAGAGGCTAATGTTAACATGAATAAACAACTAAAAGTCCTAATGTAATATTAAAGATAATCTCATAAACTCTTCAACAAAATAAATGTTTAAGCCTGTTGCTAGGTAATGATGATTGATTAAACTTAAGCTTTTATATATGCACAATTCTCATATATACAGCCATCTGATACTCTTAAGCTACACCTAATTGACACTAGTTATGAAAAGACCACATATTATTTTTTACTCACACATTGCCAAAAGCTTTCTGTCTTTCAGCCTAGCTACCAGGAAGTACCTCATTATCTATTAATGGCTGTGTTTTTACAGTTCACTCTTCCCTCCTGTATCTCAGTGTATTTTATTTCTTCTTAGGCAAGAATAATTCTTCTTTTCAAAAAAAATGTTCCCATTAATTAATTACAATGTGTTTTTACCATTTGTTTATAGTAGCAATTGCAGCCAACTTGGCATAAGAACATCTCTGAGAAAACTGGAGACTTAACAAGAAGGGGATGGGGAAAAAATAAAGGTTTGTACATTTTTTGGATCAATTTTTGTATACTTTGTCAGCTGGGTGATCAACTAAGGCATTGGGAATTTCACAGGATCAGTGCACTTAACTTTTTTTGTCAGGATGGGAACTGTATCTCTGAACTCTTCGGGACAGAGTTAATGACTTCCAACCACAACTAAACCCAGTCAAGTTGTGTGAGACCCTCCATGCAGAGGGAACTGAAAAAATCCGCAGATTATGACTGAGTTCAAATCTAAATGTAGAACAGCTCTGTTTCTGCAGATGCACAATCAGTAGATGCAAACTGATTTAACCACCACTGATTTTAGTGGTAGTACAGCAAAATCACTGCCCCCATTTGATTTTATGGGACCTCAATGAAAAGAGCATTAAGCCAAGGTTTTTGGCTCCTGGTGGAGACAAAAGGAAAGGAAGAGAGAGCTTTAGGTATTGTATAGCAGCACTTAGCCAGCACAAGAATAAATGCTATGTGGAAAACTTAGAAAGGTCTCTATAAAGAATGGGAGAGTGTATCCTAGAGAGTCTGTAAGTAACATGGAAATGGCACAGGCCAAGAGTTCACTGTACATTCTTTGCTCAGCTTAATGGAAACTGTCAGTATTATATTTTGTCTAATTTAATGAATGTTGCAAACAAAGTTTCGATTTTCCAAACTGATCCATAAGTTTGACAAGAAAGTCTTGCCTGAACCACCTCTCCCCCTCAAATTAATTTTCCTTAGAGAGCCCTAAAACTAGACCTTTTTCAGTGTACAAAAATCAATCTCACATGGCTGGAAAACACATCAAGGTGAATTACAGAATAGAAAAATAACCATCTTATAAAAAACTGACCTTTATGTTTCCATGTATTTGACTTTGATAAGTTCAAGTGTGTCTTATACTCCTAATGCTCATTTAGAAGTAAATGTTCAAAATTGCTGTTACAGAGACATCACTTACTTGCTCCCGAAGACTATCTCAAAAGTATTAAAATTATTTTTTAGCTTTGTGTTATTATATTTTTCAGTACACAAGCTGCGTGATCAACTGTATGCAAATATTCATTCTTCCTTTTTTTATGAAAGGGGATTTCCTAAATATTGACTATATGTTTGACATTAAAGTCTATCTCTGCTTTGTGTAGTCCTTGCTAACCTTGCATCCTGACACTATCACAGTTCCCAGACTACGAGTTCATCAATTAACTTTAACATTAGAAACAGCAAAAGAAGATGGATAGACAAAGTTAAAATCATGCAGTTACAATGCATTTCTATATTGTACATATTTGTAGTAGAAGCTCCCTGCTGCCATGAGAATATCTGAACAGAAAATGGATTATTTCCCTTGAAACTTTATAGTAATGAGTGGCTACAAGAAATATTTTAATACTTTCACAACTGCTAATATGTTTTCCAAGCTGAAAGAGAAAATAACGGTGTTGTCAGCATGCAAAGTTTCTGTTTCACCAATAAGATAGACAACACTTGGTGATGTTGTCATGCCCATCTGTGGCTTCACTAGGAGGTGGTGTCTACAGTGTTAAAAGGTTAATTTTTAGAAAGAGTACTATAATTACTTCTCTGTTGGGGGACCATGACATCTCACAGTCCATCACAAGCCACAGAGAAGCATTCCACTATCAGTTGTGGTAAACCTTATAATAACTGCTGCTCTTTTTATTGACCTACGCAAGTTATTTCTCTTTTTCAGCTTTGTTGCCCTGATGGTGGTCAGTGGCATTGTAAACGCTGTCTAGATGAAGTAGGGTTATAATTCAATTGTTGGTTAATTAGAAATTCTGAAGTTCAAATTCAGGTCATTGTCATTCTGTCTGTCACTCACTATACCTGCACTGATTCAATGTCCCTAGGAATGGTGTCCCATACTGTCAGTAATTCACCCACGATAACATGAGATGTTCATAAACATTTAGCTTTGAATTACTTGGTCTAAATGTGGCAAGACCTCTGATTGTACCTCAATGCACCACATTATTTAATGCTTGACTTGAGGCCTAAATATATGTGCAAGGACATGGCTGAAGAGTCCTTCTCTCCTTAAAACTCCAGATTATTAAGATATTGTTTCTCTATTTTTTCCCAAGGCCTCCTTACTTTGATTTGATATGTAAAATTAAGTACATTTGATTTTACTCAAAGTTTCCCCAAAATTGTTACCAGTTTTGCTTAAGTTAGCTGCAAGGTTTGGATCATATTTGTTTAAATGGAGTATTTTTCTGCCTTCATCTGAAGTCTTGCATCAATAAAATCTATTATAAACTTGTTTTTCTTTCTGTGTGGTTAGAAACACTGTGGACAGGTGGGTCTTGTTTGCTTTGGCCAGCATCAAGGTGCAAGAAAGAAATATTGATGTATGAAGAGCATGCTTTTCCAGCTCAGAGAGGGATGGATCTCATTAAAATACCATCTGTAGTAGCTTTTGGGGTGGGGTCATTGACGTGAATTACTTACAAATTAATTTGACTTTTCTACTCTGGCACATCTGTCCCAGAGTCAATAAATACTGCTGCTGTTAAAGATAAATGCCATTTGTTGCATCGGGCATTCATGACCTCTCTGCTTCTCTATTCTGAATGTTTCTGTAATTTGCATCATTTGAAATTTCCTTTTATTACAAAACTTCCCATTTCCTTAAATGAACTTTGTCTATTCACTTGTGACCACCAGCCACTGAGGTGAAGATCTTGCCTGTTTTTTGCAACCCCTGCAGGGAATCCTCTCCCAAAAGTAGAGTTCATGGTTCTTGTATGGAAATTGTTCATGTTGTATGGAAATTGATGGAGCTATTCTGAGACTGCTGCAATAGTCCATGCAACTTCATCCTCTGATTGTCCAAATTCTTGCTTTGTCGTCAGAAATGGGAAAGGGCTTAATAAACTCCTCAGTGGTTCATTGTATGGTACCCTTGGAACCCTCTCAGGGAGAGGAAAATTGTGCAGCACATCTCAAAAACTGCAGGTCAGTCATTCTCCAAATTTGCTTTTAGCGTAATTTTCAAAAAATCCTGGACTTCTGCACTGCTAATGGATGAGATATGAGAGTCCTTTCCTGATATCCTATATTTAACTAGCAATATTTATTGTATCCTACTCTGACATATGTCCAGCTCTGACAACCCAAGACAGTCAGCTCTGCATGTACCTGGGAAGTACACAGAACTTCAAAAATGCCAGCAAGCAGTACGTGAGAGATTTTTGTGTTCAGTTGTGAGGTGCTGAAAAGGAACCAGCAAGCATGACTTAGAATCCCTGTCTGTTTTGATGAACTGCTTCCAAGTGGTACAGTTTCCCCATGGAAATAGTTCAGCCATCTTATTTCCTGGATTTAAAGACTCCCAGAAAGAGCCCCTGAAGTTGCATGCTGAGAAGCTGCGGCACAGCAAAACACAGAAATCATGTCATTTCAATAACTTTTGGATAACATACATAGGTGTGCTTGGGGTGGGAAGCCACAGAGTGTTTCTTCCATGCCACATTTAGCACAGCCCAGTGCTAACCTTGATGCAGGCTGTAGGAACAGCAGCAGATGCAAAATGCTATGTGATAAGCATGGAGGCAGGGACAAAGGCAAATTTGATGCAAACAAAGCTCATTTGCTCCATAGAGTAACAGACAAAAATGAGGTCCAGGGCTGCCAAGTTTGATATATCATTGCTAGAAACCCAAAATAAGGCCCATTTCTCACTACAGGGTGAAATGTGTTTCAGGTGCTAAAAGATTGCCATTTCATATGTCCTAACAGTTTTGAAGAAATCATCCATATACCCAGGAAAAAGTATTGGAGTACTGTGTTTATATGGTAAGCTGGATGTGAAGTGCACAGGACCCAATACCCATCTGCCATGTACAAAGAGGTGCAAGATCAGAGGGACTGCAGAAGTGGATGTGCTTTATGACCTCAGCCAGACCCTACACCTGGGTGGGTTGTGGAGGACCTCTTTCTCTCTCTAAGCTTGCATCTAAAATAATTTCAAATCTGGTTTTCTCTTTATTGTACTTTGGTCAGAATGGGACCAAGGCTCACTGAGTGTTAAGTAAGCCCGGTTGATTGGGCTGTAAGGCTGAAAAATGCAGAAACTTAATGATTATACAGTCTGGAAAACAGGAAGGGGAGAAAGGGACAGAAAGAGTTTCTGGGAGAGAATTCATTCTCCAATAAAATGACAAGCCATATTTCATAGATTTTGCTATCAGTCTTCTTTCTACTGTAATTCTAGGAATCTATATGATATCTTGAGGGAAACAAAATTTCTGCTTGAAAGGTTCACGTGACAGATCATGAACACTAAAAAATAATTGCACTGGCTGAAGCACTAAAAGTTAAAAAGGCATGCACAACAGAGTGAACAAATCACTTTCTCCCAAATAATCCCAACTGGAACAGCTGCTGAGCAGAAGTGAAATATTGTAGAACAGGAATCATACAGGGTAACTGCTACGGTTCAGCAAGAAATTGCCCTCTTGTCTCTGGTGAGTCTGTAACTCCTAAGGAGAGACTTCAGGGGAAATTCGCAGAGGATGTGGCGGGTCCTTCTCATAAAGCCTTCCAAAAAGTGTCGCTGTTACGAGCGGTTTCGACGTGCCATGCTTGCTTTTCAAACGCCCATCACGTAGCACCTGGTGGAAAAGAGAAAGAATGGCGCTAATAGTCAACTAACAGAGTAGCAATATTGCATAGTACAGAAAGAACAGACCTTAGATGCTGAATGTTTTGATGCAACACTTTAAAAAACAGTCATGATAGTGAAAGAATACAGAATTCTCTCTGGCTCTGCCATAGCCTCCCCATTATAGCCTTCCCACATTTCCTTGGACCCAGGAGTCCTTAAACCCTCCTCTGTCTTTGGGAAAAAAGATAGATAATTTTCTGCACCTCATGAGATGGTGAGAGTAAAAATAACTGATTTGTTTAGTTACTCATACAAGGCAATAAAGGTTGTATACACATCTAGGACATATTTGAAACATTTTTTGATTTGTAGACCCCAAAACAATTTTCAGATGGAAATAAGATAGTTTCAAGCTACTGGCCATATGTAGCTTTTCTTAGTCCCTTTTTACATATCAGTTTGAAATCACTGTTCACCAACTGTGAACACTGTAACAACTTTTTTATGCCTCTGTGACAAAAGGTAAGCATATATTTGTTAATACAACCTATTGTTTTAAAATTAGACCACAATAATATTTTTAGCATAATAATAAATTCCTTGATGTGCCTATTTTTCACAAATCTCAGTCAAAAACAACTATGAAGGGTGAACAATGATTTTCAATTTCCTACATTTTAAAAAAATCACCCTTGTTTCCCCTAAAATTTTTCAGGTCTTTTTCACCATCTTCATTGTCTCTTGTAAGCTGTTAAATACTTCTTCCAAATCAATTAGGATTTCATCTAGTCTATTTCATAAAACTAATCTAAGGTTTATGAATAAAAACATCTTTTGGCAAAAATAAAATATGAACCTCCAAATAAAAAAAAAGAAACCCCACAAACCCCTCAAAAATAACTTTTAACATTATAAACTGCATAGAATCTCTGCTCTTACGCATGATACTTCTAAGTAATTTTTCTTGTTCAGACAATTTCTCGGAGTATTTTATTTAATTTTCTCTTAAAATGTCATAATGAGAAAATAGCTCCTTGAAAGCTCTGGTTTATTCATTTGCGACCTGAAGTGGGAAGGCATATTTGCTAAAGAAAGCACTGAAGAGATTTTCAGCTTCAGGACCAATATGTTCTCATCAGTAAGGATTGATTCAATCCACCAGTTTAAATCTGTCCCCTTGGGCTGCAGTCTGCAGAACCAAGGAAAGCTGTTCTTGGGTGGGACTTTGCTGGCAGAGCAGTTTTCAGCTCCACAGCATGAAAAACCTTGCAACAATAGCTCCAGGGTGTCCCATTACCTCGAACTCCCCAGGGGCCAGCTGCACCCCGCTGTACAGCACTTCTGGGAAGACGTAGCTGGTGCCAAACGTGCCACTGAGGGAGAACATCTCAAACTTGGTCTGAGCTGTCTCCACGGGCTGCCCACACGTGCTCAGGTTTGTGCTGGGGCACTTGAGGAGACTGCAGATCTGTGGGGAGACAGAAAGGAAAAACACCACTAAGCTTTCAGCAACCACAAGCTGCATTTGACAGCAAGAAAAGTTCCCAGGATGCAGTAATGGACAAATGCTTTTAGGTGATCGGCCTGTGGCCACACTCACCTCTAAAAATGGAATTACCTGCCAATGGTATTTTATGAGAGAACCGTGAAGCCCGTCAAATGCACCCAGGACATAAACTTCATCTTCACTCTTGTTTGACATCTGGTAGACCAGATGGCAGCAAAGATCTCCTTGGCAAACAGTGCAATTTCCATCCTTGTGCCTGAGTTCACTGAAAGTGAATATATCCCTCCGGACAGCTCCCGAGAAAGTGTCGTTTTCTCCAGGAAATTTCTTGATGCTCGTGGCATGCGAACTCCAGTTGATGGCAGGAGGGTAGGTGGGGGAAAGACGGGGGTGTGTGCTCAGCTCTGCTAGCAGGAGACGTCCCTCCTCGGTGGCACTGTCGTAGTGGTAGGCGGCAGGTCCTTGTGGCGTGAACAGCCCGCTGCCTGCCGAGGACACCGCCAGCCCTCCGTCAGCCAGCACCGCACAGCACAGCTGGGCAGGGCCACCAGCCACCCCCGCAACACTCTGGCATTGCTTTGCGGTGATACTCTTTTCATTCAACGCCTTACTACGAGTTTTGGAATAATTTTAAACCGCAGAACAGCTAAAATACCCATCCTAGTGTTAAAACTTAGGTTCATGTGAAAAGAAATCATAGCTCTCAGAGTGATATATTTGACAAAGGAGGCAATCATGGGGGTAGTTATGTTTCACTGAAGGAAACACAGGGCTGCAGCTGAAACTCAGCTCAGTCTATTTAGGGCAGGCAAAAATGTAGTTTTCACTTTGCTTCAGGGGAGAGTAACAGCTGGAGCTACGTCCTTTTCTCAGTTAAGAGAAAAAGGCAATAAATGCACATTCAGAGGAAAGCAAAACATCATATCTGTAAGTCTTCAGCAACCCCCAAAAAAGAGAATGTTTTATTCAATATACAAGTATACCAAATAAAATAAATTTATACCGTATACAATTTTGTTTTACACTGTTAGGTTCTGATTAAATCATTTTTTCTCAATTTAACTGTTGATTGAATTTTAAACAGAAAATGCTACCTCTAGATGAGAGACTGAAAATTTAAGTGAAGCTTCGTGCTATTTTTTTCAATAAAATTTCACTTTTAAGTTATCAAAACATAATGTCATGGGCTTTCTATTTTTGCCTTTTTCAGAACATTCAACATTTTCTTACCTGAAGTTGTTTATTACATTCAGTACCAAATCACAAAGATCTTTAGTCCAATTAAAACACTGTCTTTCAGAGACTTCACTATTCTAAAACATTTCTGCCTGCTTCTGAATCTGGGAACAATTTCTCTGCTCCTGAATGCAACTTACCTGTCATTGCCTTGCTGGTGCTGTGAGTATTTGCTGAAAGTAAATTAACACGCATGCCCATAGCCCAGGCAGAGTGAAACTCAATTGCAGTCAGAAAGGGCAGGACATTCATCCAAGCTGTCGGGAAGAGCACAGTGTCCACCTGCATCTTGCTCACCAGGACCACGGCAGGCTCGTAGAAAAGGATGTCAAAGCAAGTGAAAATGCCAAACTTCCCAAAAGGAGTCTCAAAGGTGACAGCTTCTGGCTCTTTTGGATAATTAAACTGAGTTTCACCTCTAAACAGATTGTACTGCAATTGAAGAAAAAGGCATATTAGAAAGTGAAAATAAGGCAAGATTACAAACAGCTTTTGTGTCTAAGATACACCTTAAAGCAAAATTGGTAGTAGAGGTACCTGAGCTAGCTGGCGCAGCTAATTTGTACTCATCCAGCTAAACCTCCCCTCCAAAAATGGGGTGGCTGTGCTTCATCTACCTCCTGAAAGCAATGCCCATCCAATATTAGCTGTTAAACTCCAAGACCCCTGCAAAAGCACTGTCTAAATTGGCTACGAATGTACCGAGGAGAAGCTAATGTTCACTGAGTATGGAAAATTCTGTCACTGCTGCTTTACAATTAACTGTCATAAATGTAGCCCTCAAGTGTTTGGCATGCACTCTGCAGCTGCAGTGCTCCTGGGAATAATTTGTCTGAATGGTCAAGCTATTGCTTGGTTTTCCTTCTGGCCACAGGATCACCAAATCATCCTGGATTGGTTGTCAGTTTATAATTACATAAAATTACTGTATAAACCATCTGAAATTGGTTCCAGAGAGCTGAAAAAATTATTGATAATAAATTAGAGGTTAATGTTGAAACACCTCCTTACCTTGTGGTAACGAGCCACCAGTTTCCCCTGTGTGTCAAAGACGACATCTGTATTGTACTGGTAGCGACCGTCCCTGGGGCAGCTGGGATCACTGGAGTCACACGGCTTCTTGTCCCCAATATTTGCAACCACATAGATGGAGTTATTTCTGGCCATGCAGCTGAGTCGTTCCTGCACTGGTGCTGGACCAAATCTAATGCATTTTTAGTGAAATAAAAAAAAATCTTTTAGCAGTTTAAGTGTCCATGTAGAAGAAATGCATTCAGAATTACTACTCCATTAACTGCACATCCCCAGATACTGAAAAATAATAGATCAAATTATAGTTTCTGTTAATTTTCTTCACTGTTCATAGCATAATTTTAAATTGCTGGTGTCTTTCTTCTTAAAAAATTGGTCTTCCTGTGTCCCTGTACCCTTTACAATGCTATTTTCTGTGTGGATAGAAATCCCAGCTAGCATGCATGATAAGATGTGAAGAGTTTCACAAAGCAAGATGAGAATAAATCAGTACAGAGACATAAATCTTAAAAAACTTAAAAGCAAATTATCAAGCAGCTCTAAGCCCTGATTCAGAAGATAATTTTAGCCTTTTTAAATAATCGTTGTCTGTAAGAATTTAATAAAAAAGTGGGCACAGCATTTACAGAGATGAGGATTCTTGAAATCTAGCTTTATAAGGCCTCAGAAGGAACATAAAATCTTAATTTAGATATGAACTCAGTCTTTTTAGTGTCCCCAGTTGACACACATTGGGACGACCTCTGTGTGTAACACAGCAGACTGTGCAAGTAGCTGCATTTCCAAAATATATTTCTTTCAGATCTAGATTAATATTTTGTGCAATTTGGTTTAGAAATCACTCAGCCATCTGAACTGAGGACTGAATCAACTGTACTTGTGATTTTTTATAGATTAAAGAATTAGCAGTTCCTAGTCATTTAATACCAGCTGCTCAAGACTCCATGAGATACCAGACTGAAAGCTTCCAAACCCCTGCAGAAGGAATCACCTTGAGGGGTCAGTGCAGGGTATCCAGTTCACCACGGGATCAGGGATATCCTCCAGGTAGGGGTAGATGGATTCTCTTGTGAATCTCCAGCCATAGATGCCATCTTCAGGAGTCACAATGATGTGGGCACCCTGTCACAACAGGCTCCATTTAAAGGTCACCCATTGACAGACAACCAGGAAGGTCAGCAGGAGCAGAGAACACTGATGAACAACCCTCACAGTACCCCTCATACCTGCCGGGCAGCTTCCTTGATGGCTCCTTCCAAGACATCCATGTTTTTGTTCATCTGGGCCAAAGCCTGGCTGGGAGAAACGGGCAGGTCGGTGGCATCTGGCAGGATGACGGCGTGCTCGTAGACGGCTGCCAGGAAGGTGTTGGAGGCAAGAGCCTGAAGGGCAGCGAGGGCAAACACCACAGCAGGCAGGAGAGCCTGGGAAGGGAGCATGGCTGCAGCCTCCCAGCCCCTGGGTCAGCATGGGGAATATAAACCAGAGACAAAGAGGAGGAGTAAGGACTAATAAGTTTACTTTGGAAGTAACCTTCTGTTGAGTAATCTGAGAAGATGTCTGCCAGAAAGTTAAAGAAGCTTTACTAGGAATTTGATCTTGTTTCCGATATGAAGTGTTTTAAATAAAAGTAGAACAAAAGGCTAAGAGAGCTTGTCAAAACCCATGTTAATCTACAAGGGGTACATTGGAAGGAGCACCTGCACATTTCATTTGCACATCCCTCTCCAGGCTTTTAAACCCATTTTGGTGCAAGCCCAGACTCCCCTGGTTAGGATACACTCCCCCATATCACCTTATGGCTGCCATCAGTGAAAACTTCAGCCAGTGCTGAAGACAGACCACAGGTGTGGGGTACAGCCCTCTTGCTCCAGAGTGCAGATAATTCAGCGAGACATGTGGTCCCACCATACCTCCTGATTTTGGCCAATGGCTTATAGTTCAAGTGGATGCCTTGAGAGTGTCCTCCTCACTGGGCTCACACTGCAATATAGACTATCCCTTGAATTGTGCTGACCTTTCTGCCTAGAGCTAACAGACTTGCTTGTCCTATGATAGAGAATTCAACAACACCATTTTTTTTTTATGATGGTCCTTTCAAAAGGAAGTTTTTGTACAATTTGAAATTACTATGGAAAGCAGTAGTTTTTTCTCATGGAAAGAAATTTTTAGCATAGCATTTTGTAAACAGAATATTACTACTATAGTTTCAGATGATCCTTAGAAAAACCTTAGTTAGGACCTGTGCTATATCAGTGAGGGTAAACGAGCATAACCTGACTCATCATTTACCACTTAGCAAGAAATCAAAAAACTCTTCTTCCACCTTGCAAAATCTTCCTCTTCACTATGTAGTGTCACCCAAAAGCATGAGTCTTCTCCATCAGTACCAAGGCCTCCTCAGGAGAAGCCAATATTTCATCAAGTCTAGGATTCTAAAATGTCATTGTACTCATAGGCAGCTGCAGTCCAGGGCACAGCCTCCCAGAGCAGAGAGCACCAAAAGCACAGCAGAGACACAAGTTTTAGGAAGCCCCATGTCTGGAGCCTGAAGTCACCCAAGAGGAGATGGCAGGCAGGCAAAGGCAGGGGACTTTAAAAAGAGGAAGTCTTGTGCAAAACCTGGGAATTCCCCAGGGTGGCTGCAAGCTAACAACTATGTAATCACCCTGTCGGGAAAGACTCAGTATCAAAGCCAAGAGAGCTGCCAGCATTGAGCAATTCTGCCTCACAGCACCATGGCAAGGTAGTCACTGAGAAGTCACCACTGTGCCACAGCTGAAAAAACATGTTACTTACCAGATACACAAAAAAACCCCCCAGGCATCATATTGCTGTAATAACAGAGTTCAAGGCAAGCCTGGATCTCAGAAGGAAAACAACTTGGGGACATCTCAGCAGAGACGAGCATGGACACATTCCTGCCCATAGTCAAGGGCATGAGGTGCAGGCATGGCTGAGGGAGGCAGGTGGCCAGGCCCCAGCATGGGCAATACCTGTGCTCAGCACAGCACAGCTCGGAGTTGCAGTGACTTTGGGGGCTGCTGCATATCCTGGAGGGGAGCTGCCAGGCAGGCTGGTTGTCTGAGCAAAACCACCAGTATACCCACCACTCAATAACCAAGCTCCGAAGATCTCTGGTTCCCAAAGGTCTCTGTAGGAAGACTGTCGTGAATAGGAGACACAATTTCTAGATTTTTGCCTACTTTCTTATATCCACAGATCACTCCAGCAGAAATCTTAAAGCTAAAGCTGCACGTGCATAGAAATAACTTGTATCTGGCGCCCAGGTTTCTTACCTTCTTTGGGACTGACTCAGCAGTCAGGTAACGAATGGGTTCTTTCTGCCCTCGAAGAAGTGTTTATTGTTATCGGTGGTTACACACAGCCTTGTCTTTATACAGAGTGAGTTGGTATGTGGGTAATGGGTGGACTTGCATAGGATTACTTTCCGTATGCTTGACTCACTTCTCACAATAACACATTTCACAATGATAAGTGTTATGCAATCTCTATAGCAAAAAGAATTCAGTGTCATTATGGCAGAAGCCATAATGACACTTCTTCTGTAAGAAAATACTCAACATACAAATATACCTTATGCACACCACAATAGTCTTGAACCAAATCCTGGATTCAAGATACTCACCACATTCAGGGTTGGGATCCTACACTATCTGCACACATGTTCCATTATCCAGAGGACTGGCATCAGCAGTGAACAAACCTGAAGAAGCCACCTCTCAGCTTTGAGACTGGCCACACACTCCTGCTGAATCTTTTCTGCAAGATGAGACGTTCCCAGGGACCATAATGTCCCTTAAATCCAGATCCTTTCCTTGAGAGAGAGTTGTGGTTTCACCCACCAGGTTCCCTGGGGACATGTACAGTGTCTGCACTGAGTTTGTACCCATGGGAAGAGGACCACACTTGACAATCCCGTTGCTGGACTGAGATCAGTCTGTGGTCACACAGTAACTGTCTCAAACAGTGAACAATGTTTTAAGACAGTGTGGCTTTAGCAACAATAATGTTGAACTTCTGTGAGTCAAAGTACATTGTCTAGGGCTTTTGATAAACATGTTATTATGTGAGACATGTCATTGTTATGTCACGTGTGAGTATTTATTTACATTTGGAAACAAAAACGGTCATATGGCGCACAGCAGTGGTAATCAGTGCTGGAGCTTGGAGAGTATTTGCACTCCCAGTGTCTCACCAGCTCCAGGAAAGTACATGGGATTCAGGACCTTAAGACCATCATGGTGAGGTGCCAGGTCCTGCACTTGGGTGACAGAAACTGAGGGAGGAGTGGCTCGAGAGCTGTTTGGCAGAAATGGACTTGGGAGCGCTGGCTGACAGCTGGCTCAGTATGAGCCAGCAGCGTGCCCAGGTGGCCAAGAAGGTCAGTGGCATTTGGGTCTGTATCAAGAACAGTGTGGCCAGCAGGACCAGGGAAGTGATCATCCACTGGTGAGGCTGCACCTTGAGTGTTGTGTTCCATTCTGGAACTCTCACTTTAGCAAGGGGATTGAGGTGCTGGAGCCTGTCCAGAAAAGGGCAACAAGGCTCCTGAAAGGTCTAGAAAACATGTATTATGAGGAACAGCTGAGGGAGCTGGATTTGTTTAGTCTGGAGAAGAGGAAGCTCACAGGAAAACCTCATCACTCTCCACAACTCCCTGAAAGGAGTTTTCAGTGAGGTCAGGGCCAGTCTCTCCTGCTGTGCCTGCAGTGAGAGGACTAGAGGTAATGGCCTTAAACTGGGACAGAGCAAATTCAGATTACACATTAGAATATTTTTTTTACTGTTCAGGCTGTCAGGCACTGGAATAGGTTGTGCAGGGAGGTGATGGAGCCCTAGAGATGTTCAAGAGGGGTCTGGATCTGGTACTGCATGATGGTTTAGTAGTTTAGGGGTTACAGAGGCAATGCCAAGTTTACAGCTGGACTGGATGATCTGAAAGGTCTCTTCCAGTCCTGAAGATTCTATGATTCTATGGTGAGACCAGAAATGGTAGCAGTGTGGGGAAAAGAAATGAGAAATTTCATGAACAGAGGTCTCTGACTACTCTTAAGGACACAGCCACAGAACATGCACATCTTTACACACTGATGTGCTGAATGAAGGTCACTAAGGTCCAGCAGCATCAACAAAACACAGGTCACTGGGGAGAAGAGAAAGCAAAAATGTGAACAGTGCCATCTCACAGGACTAGCAGGTCTGAAATAGAATTCTAAATCCCCAAATTCCTGAAGAAAATTCATCTGCAGGGCAGCACCACCCAGCATTAACAAGGAGTAAAGGGCAAGGCTTGTTTCACATACATTGATGTTACATGACTAGAAAGAAACAAAGAAGGTGGAAGGGAGGAGCTGCTATGGAATACCACGTCAATCCGTGACTTGTTTACAGGTTGCAGTAAAAATTCTGTCACTGAATAGCATCCAGTGCAGTCAGGAGGTGTCATCAAGCTGTTTTTCAGTGAAAACTAGAATAATTTGAGGTTTCAATTCCAAGTTTTGTTTCAACAGAGGTTTCATATGAATAATGATTCAAATCACGTTCTGGCCAAAAAGTAGTGGCACATTTTGTTTCAGGAGGGGTTGGTTCTTTGACTGGAGTCCTCGCTCAGCTTCCATGATGTATTCTGTTGCCATTTCCTACTTGATATGCACCAATGGTATAAAGGATATAAAACCAGAGCAACAGAAGTAGATTTTAAAAAAAGGTTTAATTGTGGTAAAAAAGCAGACTGGCATAGACCAGTACAACCTGTATTCCAGACACAAAGAAATACTGAGCATGTGTATAGACCTGCCACAAATCACATCTTTCACTGCTTTATTTACTGGTCCCATAATAATCTGCAATGAAAAAATATGCAATGCTGTTTTAATAAGAATGTATACTCTGGAGTACAATTCAGGTTTTCTGAGGGTTAGAAAAATAAAAGTCCAGAAAACAGAGAAAAACAACTGATGTTTTGAACTAATAAAATGTTAGTAATCTTATGACATAGAAACAGATTCTTCTCAATAAATTGTAGTAATAAGATAATATTGCCACATTATTACTAAACCAAACACATTGATGATATTTTGCAACTGGAAATGAGAAATATAATAGGGATCGTTGTTGTAGATGATGTTGTATCTCATTTGGACATAACAATAGAGTAGAGCTTCAGTTATGGAAATATCATGGGGAGGCATGTCGGCTGTGGGTCTTGTTTCAGATGATCCCTTTCATACCACCATCCAGAAAGCATCGCAGTAATGACTGGTTTCATTGGTTCTTTCTTACTTATCAAGCGTCCATCATTCAGGATCTGATTGAAAAACATGAAACAAAGAGTTTAATAGAGGAGTACCCATATGAACACACTAAGAGCTCAGAAAAATGCGACAAAACAGGAAGAAGGTACATCAGATCATATCTCTCACTGAAACTAGTGATTTCATTAAAATTTATATAATAGATCTGATTAATCATTATGAGCAGGTTCACTTTAACTGTTTGAGACATTTTATTCCATTACTATCCTGCTGAGGACCTAGCAGGACACAGCTCAAGGGTGTCTTAAAAACTTATTTACTCTAGTATCTTCATATTCCTCAATTCCTGGGCTATCTGTCAGTATCTGCAGTTTGCTTCTGAGTTTCTCTAGACCAAAGAAATTGCATTAGC